TTTGCTATCAATTACAGTGTCAATTCGGTGGGCCAAATCTCATTTTAGCAGTGATTTAATGAACATAAAATTATGACTGATTAAATTCAACCTCTACTTATTATCGCTCGCTTCGGTCTCTCTGCAGACTCAACTAACTACTTGGTGGCGATTCAATGATTCAATGAAAATAACAAAGCAAAAATTCTATTCTTCTCCAAAGGATTGACGTAATGCAAATACTTCGCTTATTTTTGGTGTGTATTTGGCTAACATTTGTTAAATACATTTTCACACCTGCCAGATTTTTTATTATCAACAAAGTAAGAAGTATGTAATTCGAAAAAAAAATAAATAAAAATTAAAAATAATGGGCGGATTTCGCATAGTTTGCATCACCTGTGCAATAATGTAGTTGGTTGCTGCCATTCGGGCTGTTCGATTCAGCCGAATTATAAAATATGCAAAACTGGGCCGAAACGATGCGACTGCTTTGGAAAAGTCAAATAAAACAGCCAACGCAAATACATAGAGAAACTCAACAAAGCAAACATCCGCCCACACATTCATACAAATAAAAAATAAATAGAAATATGCGTTGCGAGTCAGTGTTGCCATAATCGATTCGCAAGAGATCGCAGCCAAAACAACTGTGCTATCAACAACTATAATAGGCTGACGACACCAGCTTAAGCTGCAGTCACCAACTCGCCGTACTCATATCGTGCTCTTATTAGCAGTAGTAAACGCCTTTTTCATCCTCATCGGCCTAGCACCTGAAGTTCCAGCCGTTTTCGAAATCTGTTTCATATTTCTTTGCTTAGCGAATCTAATAAGTATACACTTATATAAATAAATACGTGGTGCGCTAGGGTGCCCATCGAAAAAGCTTTTTTTTTTTAATTTCAAGACCCTACCCGAGATATTATTAGTGGCTTTTTTCTTTTTTGCAAATGAAGAGACCATCTGCACAAGCTGGCAATCTATTCGACCGATCTCTGTCGTTTCTGCGATTCAGCTGAGGAGAAACCATCTCACCTGCTTCTGGAGTGAGAAAGACCTATTTCAGATTTGGGTTGAAAAACGCTCTATCTAAGAATGTGATTGAAGAACGCCCTATCTCAGTTTCAGTTAAGATAGGACGTTTTTGAACCAAATTGTCAGATTGAACGTTCTTAAATAAATTTTGAGGTACGTCCTAAGTCATTATTAAGTAAAAAGACAACCGACTTGAATGCTCATAAAAAAAAAAAAATTATGAGTACCGTTAATTTTTTCATGATCCAAAAATCGGAATTAACCCACTGGGAAAATAGGTAAGCACCTTACGAGGTAAGCCATGTTTTCTTTCAGTTTTTAGTACCAAAATTGTCATCATGGCCAATGTCATCTACTAGTAGGGTTGCCAGACGTACTGCTTTTGGGAGTAAACGTACTCCTTTTTATTGTAATGTACTCCCTTGTACTCCCAAAAAAAAAATATCTGGAAATGTACTCCTTTCTTAGTTTTGTAATTCTTTTGTACTTCTTTTGTACTCCTTTTTCCAGCTATTAATATTTTATCATATACAGGGCGTAAAATAATAACTGTTGCACAGGTTTTATTGAAAAATAAAAGGATGCTTTATAGATTTTGCGAAAAAAGTAGTAGTAGACTTTACTTAAATTTTATTAATAAGTTTTTAAATTTTAACCTTCATTTGCGTTTACCAGCGGTAAACACTTTGAGAGAAAAGCTCAAGCGGCACGCAAGTCTTCGTCGGTTACTTTATTACATATCATCATTAGACACGAATAAAGGCGCGAGCTCACAAAATGACGGCGAAAAAAGACGCATAAAAAAACTTCAGCGTCAAAGACTCTTAACACATACTTCGCCTAATCTTTTCATAAGCATCTTTTTTCGCAAAATTTTTTTAAGCGCCTTTTTTCGCCGTCAAAACACTAGCGCGCCTTTATTCGTGTGTAGTGACGATATCGTCTGTAACCATAGGCTAATTTCCTCCATTTGGCTCCTTTATACTCCGTCTTTTGTCCAACATAAGGCCTCATACTCAGCAATCGAAAAGACTCGGAACTGGTGACTAGGAGGCCATTCATTAGACCAACCTATACAGCCGAATTTATTTCCAAGCACCGAACTACTCCGAGCGACTGCTCTGCATTACACGTAACTTACTTTGTAAAGCGGCTCAGAAGTATGTCTGATACCAAATGTACATTCTTAATTCCTACTTACATAAGGCGGCCACGTCTTTGTTAAACAAATGGAGATTCGGCAGGGAAGTGGTAAGGACCGCCAGGTGAAGGGCAATACCTTACCAGCAACTTACACTTCACCCGGCTGTCCTTACCACGTCACTGACGAATCAACCTTACTTGAACAAAGACGTGGCCGCCTTATGTAAGTAGGAACTTAGAATGTACATTTGGTATCAGACATACTCCTGAGCCGCTTTACAAAGTAAGTGACTGGTAATGCAGAGCAGTCGCTCGGAATAGTTCGGTGCTTGGAAATAACTTCGGCTGCACGTTATTTTGCAACTGACAACGTTTACTCCATATGTATTTGGCATCCAGGGGTTTTCATCGCCACTGATTTCAAAATTGATATTAAATTTTCAAAAGTCAAAATGGCGGATTCAATATGGTGGACGATTTCTTTAAAAATGGATAAATTGTTATAAAGCTTGGTATTTACTCCATATGTTTTTGCCAGATTTCAATGAAATTCGGTGTTAAGGGATTTTCGTCGTCACTGATTTCGAATATTAAATAAAATTTTAAAAATTCAAAATGGCGGACGATTTCTTTAAAAATTTATAGATTGTGGTGAAGTTTGGTTTCCAGAGATTCTCGTCGTCACTGGTTTCGAAATTGATATTAAATTTTCAAAAATTAAAACGGCGGATCAAATATGGCATCCCGAACAATAGGAGTTTCACTTTTAACGCAATGCATTACCTTTTTTTATCCATTTTTGAACAAATCGTCCGCCATATTGGATACACCATTTTGATTTTTGAAGTTTGAATATCAATTTCGAATTTTTTTTTTTTTAAATCGTCCGCCATATTGGATCCGCCGTTTTGAATCTTGGAAATTTGATTCAATATTCGAAATCAGTGACCACGAAAATCCCTTAACAGCAAATTTCATTGAAATCTGTCAAATACATATGGAGTAAAAAATTTTTGTCGTCCTATGTAAGTTGTCGATTCCTCCTTATGTGCGACCCCGAAAAAAAATTTTTAACCGCACCAAAAGTCAATGGAAGCTAAAGCAGACAATTTTTACTGAACAGACCACTTGCCCATCTAAAAGTTGTATATGCTAAAATTATAGTATGCACCCTAGGGTGGTCCTTAAATCTAGGAAGCAAATTTTTGCATCAGATTTTGGTCCCGATTGAAGTCGGTTAAGGCGTATCGCACAGTGGTCAAAGTTCAGACTACCCTATTAAGACGTCATAGACGACTTGTGATATCTTCGACTATGGCGGAATTTTAATTCTTTGAGTCTCGATAGAGGAATCTGTACTTTGGCCCCTGTGCGACACGCCTTAACCGTCTCCAATCGGAACCAAAATCTATATGTGATATCTGTGACCGTGGTATTACTGACTGAGGAGGTGAGACTGAAAAAAATTATTCTTATGACCACCCTAGTGCACCTACTGTGCACATTTTTCACTGTCTACTTAAGTATTTGTTCTTTTAAACGCCACCGCCTTTATTAAGGGATCACAAAGTAAACAAGGCAAATACTTACATATGTAGTTATACGCCATACTATCGCAATCTAAATACATACCTTAAGTATTTAGAACATACACAAAAAATACTATTTATTACACAACACTTTGCGTGCAAACGTATATACATGTCAACAATTTTCCGAAAAGCACCAGTAACTCACCGGTTAAAATTTGACCGGTTAGAATTGGAAGTTTGTTTGCATCAAAAATGTTAGCTTGCGATCAGTCCCTAAGGAACCGTTCTAGCGTTCTAGAAATAGACAAAAAATTAAACTCTAACAGCTTTATACATAAAGAGTGGTGTTATCTAACATATAATTTTAAATTTTTGTTTTTTCGGCTTTTCTTTATTACGAAAAAGCATCCGCGAAGTACACAACGAAATCGTATTCAAATGAAAAAAATGTATTAAAACTAAAATCTAAATGAGCTAGTCCAAAACCAG